TTATTTTGAAAGTCTATTAATTAAAGTATGTCCATGTGAATTAATTTTATAGTGACTAGTGATGATATCAACTGAAAGTCAAGTGATCATTTTAAGAAATTTAATGTTGGGTTATTCAAATGAGATTTTGTTGTGAGTGGACAAAGAAATGAAGTTAATTCGGCTTTAAACAATGCCATTTTACTTGATGGTTTATGCTCCCTTGTGCTCAACATTATCCGTTGCATTTCCAAATTACATTGCAACTCCGGGTTAAAAACCTGAATGATGACAGAACTTTGCATAAAGTTTTCATTGCGTCGCTAAAGTTTAAAAGTTTTTCCGTTAATCACTAAATTTTGTAATATGTAATCCCATCCATCACTAACTCAACTATCGTTTAAAAATTGACGGAATTGTTGAAGTGGCTAACGAAATTGCTTATGTGGCACGCTTTTGTAATTAGTGGATGCCAAATCACAATGTTGCTACTAACATGGATTAATTACATTTTTGTAAACACATTTTCCCCCAAAAAATATATTGAAAAATGAAATTTTTAACCCGCTATTCAACACACAAACCAACAATCCATAAACTAGACATCGCAATGCTTCCCTTGCATTTCTTGACATTTTCAAGTTATGCAATTCTTGATCAATGCTTTATCTAACTTAAAACACGTCTACGTTGTTATGTCTTTATAGATAATGAGCTCCCATTGGTATCAAGTTTCAGAGGAAGAGTGAGTTGCTACACAAATATCAATAGTGTTCATGCTTGTGTATTTAATCCAGTTTTGTTATTTTTTTTTGTAGGATAATACTTGAATCATAGGGTATTTGTAAAGCATTTTGTGTATTGAATCTGATTTTGTTATTTTTTCTTTAGCATCGATGAGATGTGATACATGGGTCCAGTCTGGATATTTTAACCGAAATTGAACCTCCCAAATCGAAGTCGAAGGTTAATGTTCGATTCCCAAAGAAACAAATTGAGAATCAAAATCAAGAACCCAGAACCTGTTGGGTTTGGGTTAATTCTTGGTTCTTGAACCAGAACCGCGAGTAATCGAATGGAACTGACATTTTGTATAATTTTTTATTTTTAAAATTTACAGGGATATAGAAATACAAAACCTAAAAACTCT